TCTGTATGTAAGTCAGAACTGGCGGTCAGTTTCAGCAGCGGCTGAATCTGGACGCCAGTTCCGACTTACATACAGATTCAACTTAAGAACAAACCTACAGTCCCTATCTTGTACGTAACCCGGGGACTGCCTGTAGATATAGACCAACAGAACAACGTAAATTTACAGGCAACTTCTAATATTCTGTTTGCAATGGCTGCCACATGCTCTAATCTTGCCACATTTTCAGTTTCAGCAGCGGCTGAATCTGGACGCCAGTTCCGACTTACATACAGATTCAACTTAAGAACAAACCTACAGTCCCTATCTTGTACGTAACCCGGGGACTGCCTGTAGATATAGACCAACAGAACAACGTAAATTTACAGGCAACTTCTAATATTCTGTTTGCAATGGCTGCCACATGCTCTAATCTTGCCACATTTCATGTTTCCATTCCATCAAAGTACCACCTTTCTACACATTTTTTAAATATGCGTTCTGTGTGACTTCATAGATTTTAAGACCAGAAGAACACATACGGTAATCTACTTTGACCTGTATAAGACACATCGCAGAATGTAATCCACTTACTCCTGTATTAAACCCAATAACTTGTATTTCACTAAACATCCTCTTCCAGAAAGGCATCCAATCTTGAAGATTTCAGGACATGGAGAATCCACTATTTCCCTTACTAGTTGTACTGCTTGCCAAGGTTAAAATACGTGCCTCATTTCTAATTTAAAATTTGTCTGGACTTACTATTCAGTCCCAGTTATGTAGTCTCAATTTGATTAAGTAGTCCTTTATTGTATCTATTTTATCCACGGAAAGGTACAATTCTAGTATGCCCTTTGTAGTCCAGAAAGGAAAAGATAGCTTTGAAATGAACATTGGTGTTCAGAACTGAATTCAAAGCGGTACATTTATCACATTCCTTGATATTTCAGTGGGTGGAGTCTATTTTGTTAATATCATTTCTTCTAGTTGCATTACAGCACCCACTCTTGCAGCATGGTTGTTCCTGAGCAAGTGAGATGGGTGGGAGGGAGTCTGGGGAGGAAACAGCAAACTTGTTCCACAGTAGGGGAATGATATCCAGTCTCACAATGTATTTTAAATAGGTCAGGTATTTGGCAGAAGAATCTGATGTTCTTCCTCTCTGCTATCTTGACTATTTTGCCTGCAAGCAAACTGCTAATATATAAAAATTCTCTTTGAATATTTCTGTCATGCAGAGCAAATTAAGAGTTGGTGAGTTTGAAAAAGAGAAGATTTTTACAGAAGACATCCAATAACAGATTCAATTCCTGGATTTAAAGGCAAACTTGCAGT